CATCCCCTCTCTGCTGTGGAGAAACACACCTGGGGCTGCCAAGTTCTGCAGCTGCAAAAAAAAATGAACCTCTCCGTAATCCTAAAGGCCTCAGGGCCTTTAGACCCTTCACTACCTGATGCGACTGCCACCTGGAAATAAGGAGCATCAGAGGGGAAAGAAAAGATCAGGAGTGGTGAAGCCATAGAAGCAGCTGCCCAGCTAGCTCTCAGTGCCCCGGGAGAGGGGCAAAGGGTACCTTGCTCCCTGCCACCAGCTGCTCCACCTGTGCTCCAGTGAGGAAAGAGCCAACCAGTCCCCTCCCATTGCAGGAAAAGCCTGCCTTTGGCTCAGGAATCACCCAAACGTGCAGATGTGCAGAGGTTTGGTCACCAGACAAGTGCCCATGGGGCCAGGGCCAGCTCCATCCAGCTATTCTGCTCCAGGCCAACCCCCACGACTGCAGTCCCAGGGGCACAGCAGGCCCTGTGGCGCGATCCCACCAAGCAGCCCAGAGCAGGGATGTACCTGATGATGGTGTGCATGCCCCGCACCTGCGGCGTGCTCTCCAGGACGCTCAGAGTCTTTGGCAGGGGCTGTCCTTGGTGGGCGGAGGCCAGGGCTGCCCTGCAGGGAGGAGGGGGCTCAGAGCTGTGCAGCACACGCACACCCACAGCCCTGGGCCCTTGGAGGGACACGGCCCTGCCAAAGGAAGGCTCCAGAAAAACCCCTCTGGAAGGTCAGCACCGTGCTTGGCCTTCCCGCCTGGATCCTGAAGATTGCCCCAAGTCTGATACCAGGCATGAGACCCCAGAGCTGGGCTACCCAAGAAGACTGGGGTGAACCCCCCAGACCACACACACGGCTGCTGCAGCCTCTGCAGCACCAGGAGCTGCAGCTCTGCAGGGCAGGACATTCCCCTGCACCCTGGGAGCAGGCCGTGCACTGCAAGGGACAAGAGCTGTCCTGCTCAAAGAGGACAAGAACTGTCAGGAACAGGGACCATGCAGGGCACTCCTCCCACAGAAGTGAACAGCCCAGAGTAACTCAGCAGCCAGGACAGGAGCCCTGCTCCTGACAGGGCAGGGAGCTGGCCACATGCATCAGCCAGTGTGGGATGTGTCACACAGAGCCCAGAGCTGCAGCCAGACAGGCCCTAAGGAGCTGACCACAGCCCCTGCAGCACTGGGGAGGAGCAGCTACGCTCAGGCACCTCAGCAAAGCTCTGCCAGCAGGGACACAGAGGCAGCAAGACTCGGAATCCAGTGGGTGCCAGCAGCCCCCCAACCCAGAACAGGCTCCTCTGCAGCGGTGGGTCCCACGTACCTGACTGTAATCTCCCGCTGGGTGGTGCAGAGGTCACCGGCGCAGCACAGGGGAACAGGAAGGACACCCTGTCAGTCACTCACAGCCACCACAACAGCCCAGGTGGCTCCCCACCCTCCTCCCCAGTGCCCACTTCACAGATCTGCTCCCCCAAGCACCATGCTGGGGCCTTTCGAGAACAGAGGTGATGTCAAGAGGCCCCCAGGTGCTCCAAGAGCACAGGTCTGGGTGAGGTCACATCCTGCCCTCTGCATGCAAGACCCTTCTCCCCCTCAGCCCTGGCTCACCTTTTCCAGCTGGCTGTGCACATGCTGCACAATGAGGTCCAGAGCCACGAAGTTTTCCCCACCTGAGGGCGGAGCAGAGGAGGCAGGTGGGGCGGACGCTGACCCACCCCTGCCCCACAGCACCCGCTCCCCACGCCAGGGTCAGCTCTGGCCTCACCCCTGGGCACCACGATGTCGGCAACCTGCACGGTGGGCTCGATGTACTGCTCGAAGGCTGGCTTCACAAACTTGTTGTACTGCTTGATGACGCCCGCGACGTCGCGCCCGCGCTCCATGATGTCGCGCTGCAGCCGCCGCACCAGGCGGATGTCGGAGTCCGTGTCCACAAACACTTTCATGTCCAGGAGCTGGAAAACTGGGAGGGGTGAGCACCCCCTATGCAGCTCTCATCATACCTGCGTTACTCCCCTCCACTATCCCGCAGTGGTACCTGGCATCACCTCCCCTGAGGCCTCAGACACCTCCCCAGCAAGTGTGGAGACCTCTCCCTCCACAGCCCCCCTGCTGCAGTGGCACCCAGGGCCAGCACCTGTCCTGCTGCAGCACATCCCCTCTGGGCCAGCAGCCACCTGAGGCAGCGATACCTTGAGCAGCTCCTTGTTGGCGAAGGCCAGGATCCCTTCAAACACGATGACGTTGGCCCCATACACTGTTTTCTGGAGGCAGACAGGAGCTGGGTTTGTCCCGTTTCTCTCACATGCCACAGCAGCACCAAGACTGACACAGGGCACTGACCCCCCCTGGGGTCTCACCACTCTGCTGGGGCTCCCCATAACTGCCCTGCAGCACCAATGCCTTGGAGCCATAGTTGATCCCCATGAATGATGCTCCAGGCCAGGACAGACCCTGAATCTTGCTCTAGATCCCAAGCCTATCCTCCCAGCATCTCTCCACACTGAGTCCCTCCCTCATATCAGCACTGCCCTGTTTGCACATCCACCCACAGTCTCCCCCGAATAAGTCCCCAACTCCTGATGACCCCCAGCTGTCCCCTCCCTTTAGCCCTCCAGGCCCTGCAGGGCCCAGAGGCGTTCCCCTTTCCCAGGACCCTGGCAGCCAGGCCCAGCCTGGCCCCCGTGGCACCCACCCACTCGCGGCGCCGGCTGTGTGTGGTGAAGTCGTACACCGGCACCTTCACGCTCTTGCCCTTCTTGAGCTTGCGCAGGACATTGACGAGCAGCTCGAAGTCAAAGGCATCGGGGTGGTCGAAGTTGTAGTCGCTGCGGGCTGCCAGCGCCTGCTGCCCCTCATCCAGCACCTGCAGGCGCCGGCAGCGCTCAGCGCCGTGCCGGACACCGGGACACCCAGCACCCAATGCCGGATCCCGGCATCCACAGGCACCAGCCCTGCTCAGAGCCGCGCCCGGTCCCTGCACCCCGCGCACCGGCAGCGCCCAGCGGTACACCGGAACCGCGAGCGTCGCACCGGACCCCGTCCCGCACCTTGTAGAAGGAGTCCATGGAGAGCAGCACGACCCAGGGCACGTCCAGCGCCTCGATGATCCGCGTCGCCACCGTGGTTTTGCCCGAGGCGCTGCCGCCGCACAGGCCTGCGGGGAGCGGCGGGGGCACCGCCCCGGCCCGGATCCGTCACGGCCCCGGCCCCGGCCCCGGCTCCGGCCCGGTCCCAGCCCCAGCCCCAGCCCCTCCTTGGCCGTCCCTCGGGGCCTCGTCCCACCATTTCCGACCGCAGCCCGGCCCCGGCCCCGGCCCGGCCTCCATCCCCTCCCCGGCCCGTCTTGGCTCCATCTCCATCCCCCCGCGGCCCCGTCCCGCCGCTCACCGATGACAAAGGCCTCATCTACGGGCGCGCCGGTCTCGCTGTACCACGGCGGCCGCCCGGCCGTGTAGATAGTCCGTTTGCTGGTGCGCAGCAGCGGCGGCTCCGGCTTGCACTGGCTGGCGGTGCGGCGCCGCGGGGCCGGGGCGGGCGCCAGCGGCAACCGGCTGAGCAGCGAGCCCAGCGGCCCGGGGCCGGAGCTGTGGCCGCGCTCCGGCCCCGCCGCCCCCCGCCGCTCCTCAGCACCCGCCGCCGCCATTGCCGCGCGCGGCCGCGGGGGCTGCCGGGACAGGACGTGCTGCACACGGCCCGGGGACAGGCCCCGCCCCTGACTGTAACCCCGCCTCGGCCGAGGCCCCGCCCCAGCCGAGATCCCGCCCCTGTGGAGCCCCCGCCCCTGACTGGAGCCCCGCCCCGATCAGGCCCCGCCCCTACTGTGACTCCGCCCCCACTCAGACTCCGCCCCGACCGAGGCCACCGGGGATCCCGGGCTCTGCCCCGGGCTCACCCGCACGGCCCTCCCAGCCCGTGCCACACCGGGGATCCCGGGCTCTGCCCCGGGCTCACCCGCACGGCCCTCCCAGCCCGTGCCACACCGGGGATCCCGGGCTCTGCCCCGGGCTCAGCAGCCGCAGCTCCCTCAGCCTCACCCCGGCAGAGACGCTCCAGCCCTGCAGCATCCCAGGCTGCTCGGGGCTGTCCCCAGCCTGTCCCTGTGTCCTGGGGACAGCCCAGGGACAGCTCCGAGCCCGGCGGCGCGGGGTGGTGTCCAGGACACGCCAAGGGTGCGTTGTCGGTTCACGGTCTGCTGGCTGTCTCCCAGGACCCCTGGAGCCTTTTCTGCGGAGCTGCTTCCCAGCCGGCTGCCCCCTGCCCGTCCTGAGGTTGTTCCTCCCCGGTCAGGACCCGGCCCTGCCCCGTGCTGACCCTCCCCACGTTCCTGCCCCCCGTCTCCGCAGCCCATCCTGAATCTCTCCGCCCCACGGAGCAGCAAGGTCGGTGTCACCGGTCACGGCGCTGAGGGTGCTCTGCGCGGCTGCCGGGTCCCCGAAGGGGCGACAGACGGGGCTGGGCTCAGCCCCAAGCCCGGGGCGCACTGGTGGTTCCTGGCCGCTGAACACCCGCTCTGGGCTCGGCCACACAGCCCCGTCCAGGGCAGGGCTCAGCCAGCCCCTGCTGCCTGCACTGCTCTCCGAGGATCCCAGGGGAGCAGCCCCAAAATCCTTCCTGCAGCCCGGGCAGACGCTGTCCCCCCACTCCCCTCGCGCACGGCACGGCACCGCGGCAGGTGATCCCAATGGTCAGGCACGATCCCCGCCGCTGCCGGCTTCTCTCAGCTCCCCTCCTGTCCTTCCCGAGCTCCGACGGCTCCCAGGACCCGCTGTGTCACCGCCCGCCCGGGGACAAGAGGTGAGGCTGAGCCCTGTCCCGAGGAGCTTCTCCCGTGGGAGCGGCGCCCCTCACACGCAGCTCCCGCGTGTTCCCCCGGAGATCCACCGGACCGCAGCCCCGCGGGGCCCCTCCCGGAGCCCGGAGCGGCGGCACCGCGGGCGGCACCGCCCCGCCACCCGCGCGTGGGCGGGCCCGGCGGCCGGGGGCGGAGTCACGGCAGGGGCGCTCGCTCCCGGGATGGAGCCCCATGAATGGACCGGCACCGAGAGCGCCCGCCTGGTCAGCCCGCGGGGCGGCCGCGCCGACGGCAGCCTGCGCCTCAAGAGGTACCGCCGGCACCGGCACCCATCACCGGCACCCATCACCGGCACCCATCGCCCCGGCTCCCATCACCGGCACCCATCACCGGCACCCCCACCACCGCCAGCACAACTCCATCACCGGCGCCTACGGCACCGACGGCGCTCCCATCACCGGCACCCCCATCGCCCCGGCACCTCCGACACTCCGGTGCACTTCCATCAGCACCGGTGCACCATCGTCCCGACAGCCCCATTACCGGCGCTAGCACCTCCATCATCGGCACCCCCATCACCCTGGCACCACCACCCGCAGCACCCCATCACCCCCCGGGGTCCCCGGCAATTCCTCGCACCGTCACCTCCATTATCTCTCGCATCTGCAACCCTCGGTCCTCCCGCACCCGCGCTGCCGGCACCTGCTCGCCCATCATCCCTGGCACCTCCATCGCCCCCATCGCCCTCGGCTCCTCCGGCACCCGCAAGCCCCCGGAGCGCCGCGCAGCTCCCACCCCCGACACCGGCACCGGCACCGCCAGCACGTCCGTCCCCGCCCGCCCCCGTGCCTTCATCCATCCGAGCGGACACGGCACCTCCGCAGTCCCCGCGCCAGCCCTGACCGTCCGCCACTTGCACCGTCACCCCGCCACCGGCACACTCGCCCCGCCACCGGTACCTCCGCTCAAGCGGAACCAGCCCCACCGTGCGCCAGCCTCGCTCCCCCCTCGGTGTCCGTCCCGCACCTATCGGCGCCCAAACGTCTCCCACGCACACCGGTGCCATCCATCCATCACCCGCCCACACCGGTACGGTTCATCCGTTAGCCCCCGTCCCGGTGGGCTGCCCGTCCCCGCTCCCGCACTGCTGCCCCACGCACCGGGACCTCGGCCCCCGCCGCCCCTTCCCCAGGCCCTGTCTCCGCACCGGTGGCACGTCCCGCAGCCTGGCCCCGGGCGCAACACCTCGCTCCCGCCCACACCTCCCCATGGGTACCTGCACCAGTCCCGTCTTCGGTTCCGGCGGGAGCCCCGGGCCACCGCCTCCTGCTGCTGCCGCCGGAACCGCGGCTGCTCGTCCCGCTGGGGGGTTCCGCCGGTGCCCCACCGACTGCCCGGCTGCATACCGGTGGGCGGCAGCAGGACCCTCGGGGGGTCTGGACAGCAGCCCCCGAGCCGGTGTCGCCGGCAGTGACCCTCGCCCCCAGTCTCTTCACAGGCTCTCGAGACCCCTCAGCACTGGCGGCTCCCCCAGCTCCAGATCCCCGCTGCCGCTGCAGCCCCCCGACCCCCAGCCCCGGGCAGGGCAGGCTCCAGGCCCGCCAGCAGCTGAGCGTCGCCTGCGCCGTCTGCTGCCTCTTCATGGTCGGGGAGGTGATAGGTAACAGCGGCTGGGCCGGGGTGGGGGGCTGCCGGCGGGGCACGGGGTGCCAGCTGCTCTGTGCCCGCAGGTGGCTACCTGGCACACAGCCTGGCCATCATGACGGACGCAGCCCACCTGCTGACGGACGTGGGCAGCATGTCCGTCAGCCTCTTCTCCCTCTGGGTCTCCAACCGCCCACCCACCAAGAGCATGACCTTCGGCTGGCACCGCTCAGGTGAGCTGAGGGGCACGGCCCTGCGGGCTCTGGGGGACCCCCACGGCCGGGTTGGTGCTGATGGGTCTCACCCCACAGAGACACTGGGTGCGCTGGCCTCTGTCCTCTCCATCTGGGCTGTGACCGCGGCCCTGGTCTATCTGGCAGCCGCCCGCATCATCAGCAACGACTACGAGATCGAGGCGCGAGCCATGCTGGCCACGTCCGCCTGCGCCGTCGGCGTCAATCTGGTGTACGTCCCACGTGTGCACCCGTGGTCCCTGCGCCACATCGGCTGAGTCCTGCCCCCCTGTGCCCCTGGAACCCCAACTGTGCCCCCAGGTCACTTCATGTCCCTGTGCACCAGCCTTGTGTCCCCAGGCGCTGCCACCCCCACTTCCCTGTCCCCCATGTGCTCAGGGCTTCCAGTCCACGTGCCTACATCCCCACACCCCACATTCCCTGGTCCCCCAAGTAGTGCCTCCCAAGCCCTGTCATGAGCCCCAGGACCAAACCCCTGCCCTGTTCCTGCACACCTTCCGGCCCTGCTGCACCTCCAGCCCCACTCCTCCCGCTGTCCCCAGACCCAGGTGTGACTGCCTGTGCCCCCTTTGCGTGAGCAGGGCCAGTAGGGCCCCCATGCCCTGTTAGTGTGGCACTGAGCCAGCCCTGCTCTTTCCAGCATGGCCTACATCCTGCACCAGTCCCCTGCTGGCCACGGCCATGGCACAGGGGCCTACGAGCAGCTGGAGAGCTCTGTGGCCTGCCAGCCCAGCCGCAGCCCCCTGCCCGGCAGCACCAGCGTGCGGGCAGCCTTCGTGCACGTGGTGGGTGATCTGCTGCAGAGCGTCAGCGTCCTCGTGGCTGCCACCATCATCTACTTCAAGGTGCCCGGGCTGGACTGCCCCAGTGCTGCCCGTGGGAGCAGCTCTCCCAGTGCCACGTGGGCGCTGCCCCCAGCCTCACAGAGACCCCGCTCTCTGCAGCCCCAGTGCAAGATCGCAGACCCCATCAGCACCCTCTTCTTCTCGGTCTTCGTCCTTGGCTCCACCATCACAATCCTCAGAGACGTCTTCAGGGTCCTCATGGAAGGTGAGCAGTGAGTGAAAGGGGTGTGAGACCGCAGGTACAGGGGGGGTACAGGGGCTCCTGGAGCTTCATCTGCCACAGCACTTTGCCCATGAGGCAGCTCGCCTCCCCTGTGCCTCCCCTGCCCCACCTGAATCCCCCCAGTTCCTCCTCTCCACCGCAGCCAGGTGCACTGGCTCCAAGGTGAGGCCTGTCTCACCCCAAAGCCACCATCCATGCCCAGCCTGGCTCCCCTGGGGAAGCCCCCAGCCCCGGTGGCTTCCCCTGGGAGCCCTCACCCAGGTGGGTGCTGTGTCTGGGGCCCAAGGGTGGCCCCGTGTGACCAGGAGGTGCTGGCAGGGACTCCGCGGGGCCTGGAGTTCGATGCGGTGAAGGAGGTGCTGCTGGGGGCCAGCGGCGTGCGGGGTGTCCACGAGCTGCACCTCTGGGCGCTGACGCTGAGCCACCCCGCCGTGTCGGTGCACGTGGCTGTGGGTGAGTGACCCGCACGGGGCACGGCTGGCTGCCAGGGGGGCCATGGCCGTGCCAGGAACGAGCCCCTGCCCTGCTGCTCCCAGATGCCGGCGCTGACGCCGAGATGGTGCTGCAGGAGGTCACTGCCCGGCTCCAGAGCAGGTTTGGCTTTGTCTCGTGCACAGTACAGGTGGAGCAGCACCAGGAGGAGTCAGCAGGCTGTCCCCACTGCCAGGACCCCCGAACCTGAGACCCCCACCTGCTGCTGCGTTGGGCCAGACGTGGCCCCGGCCCGAGCTCCATGTGCCCTAGAGCAGGGCAGTGCTTGAGATCCCATCCCCTCCTCTACCCACCCCACTGCTGCGGAGCCCTGGGGTGGGATGGTGACTCCAGTGTGGTGTCCTGGGGGAACGGACACATGGCCTGGCCTGGCACAGGGGCTCCCTGGAATCTTCCCCTCCCTGCTGTGCCACAGCTCCTGAGGAGGTGGAATCCTGCCCCACCACCCGGTTCCCAGGGAGCCTGTCTGTCCTGGCAGGAAGGGACATCCCCCATGGGGGACCTCAGACCTGGCCTTGGCCCCAGCCCCCCATGCTGCTGCCTGGGCTCTGTCTGAATCCTCCTGTGCCTGGCCCTGACCTGTTCCCTCTGTTGAGTCGTGCCTGTGCCCCTGGTGTCCATCTGTCCATCTGTGCCAGCAGCGGTGCCAGCGCTGCCAATAAATGTGTTGGAGCAGCAGCAGCAGTGCAGCAGGCAGAGGGGCATGGGGAGGGAACCGGTGGAGTTGGGGTGGGCCCCTAGAGCCACAGCTACCAGCAATGCCCGCCCTGGTGCCAGTACCACCACAGCCATACAAAACCAACCACGTTTATTCTGCACAGCTGAACACGAGCTCAATGTGAGCAACTCCACAGCCCCCAGCCCCTTCCCTGCCCTCCGGCGCTCCGTGGGGATGGAGGCGAGCACAAGCACAGCTCCACGCTGGTGGAGCCCACGGGCTTCTGCAGGGTCACACCCACAGCTCAGCCCCGGACACGCCAGGTCCCACCACCCCTGCCCAGCTCAGAGCAAACAGTGCAGACAGACCCTTCCAGGCCCAGAGCACGAGGACGAGTGTCCAGAGCATCCCAGGGAACGGCTGGGAGCAGCTGTCCCTCCTGCAGCAGACGCCCATCAGGAAAGCAGCACTGAGGGCCCACAGCCCCATGCCAGCCCAGCTGGCCCCAGCCCCAAGCCCTGCCCAGGGTGAGCACATGGCAGCAGCGTGAGGGACAGACACCCCTACTCGGCTGGCAGCAGGGAGCGCTCAGGGGGGGCAGGGCTGCTGGGTGTGTCCCCATAGAGGACGCTGAAGCGGGCCTGGCACCCTGGGAGCAGCTGGTGGCCCACGCCGGAGGCCAGCCCTGCCAGGCAGTGTGCCCGCACAATGCCCGCCTGCCCGCCCGACACCAGCCATCCCTGCGAGTCCAGGTTGGGGCTGAAGCGCACCTGTGGGAGAGAGGAGCTCCTAAGGGACGGGGCTGGGGTGCTGGGACTCGGCCCAGAGCAGAGCAGAGCAGAGCCATCTGAGCGCTGGGCTGGGGCTCACACCGGCCCACTGACCTTGTGGAGGGCCTCCAGCTGCAGGCGGTCAAGGCTCAGCTCTGCCTTCAGCTCCTGCACGTGCATCCGGCGCATGGGCTCCCGGCTCGCCAAGTTCTGGAAGCTGCGCTGGAAAGCGGCGGCACCACCTTGGGCTGCGGGCCCGAGGCAGGAGCAGCACAGGCACCATCACCTCAGCCCTGCCCGAGTAAGGGGCTGCCCGATGCCCCAGCAGCACCTCCCGGCCCTGCCACCCCAGTGCCCAGCCCTGGCTGCCCCCGTCCTCTCCTACCAGGTCCGTGTCCTGGAATCGGATGTAGCTCCTGGCGACCATCTCACTGTAGCGATGGGTCCTGGGCAGGGCATGCTCGCTGCCCTCGGGCCCGTCAGGGCTGCAGGGCAGCAGGTCAGCTTTGTACACGGGCTGTGGGTGAGAGGCAGCTGAGGGCAGGGCTGACACAGGTCCTGCTGCTCCTCTGCAGACAGGACCACCAGGCACCGGTGGGATGGGGGCCCAGGACACTTCCTATGGTCCCCCTGTCCCTGCTGGCCCTGTGTGCGGGGCTGAGTCCCCCGAGCACGATGGTCTCTTACAAATCTGCGGTCCGAGGAGCGCTTGATGTTGAGGGGGTTGACAGCCAGGTCAGGCAGCACCGCTGCCACCAGCTCACCGGTGATGTCACCCGCAGCTACGGTGTTCAACCAGTCCGAGCCAGAGATGCTCTGCAGGGACAGAGGGCTGGAGGGCACGGGGTTCCCACCACAAGCCCCAGCCCCAGCTGGGTCCGGCCTGGCCACTGGCACAGAGTGGCCCTGCACTGGCCCTTACCCACACGGTGCCCTTGCGAGGGGCCACAAAATAGGCCTTGAAGCCCAGGTACCCGGCGTCGATGTAGTGGATCCCACAGAGCCCGTACCTGTGGTGGAAGGCACAGAATGAGGCCTGGGATGCCCGAATCTGCTGTCACCAGGAATGCGAGAGCCAGGCACAGCCCACCTCCCCACAGAACTGGCCCAGGGTGAGGGGGCTGCTCTTGCTCCAGCAGCATGTCGTAGAGTCCAGAGCAAGCAGAGGTAAGGCAGCTCCCAGAGGCCAAGAACCCACTAAGTTCCCAAACCCCTTCAGCAGCACTCCTGCTGCCATCCCCTGGCCCCCCTGCCTCTGCCTCAGGCTGGCATGGCAGAGGGCATGTCCCGCTTTGCTGCTGCGGTGTGACACAAAACAAGCAGAGCCTGCCCTTGCTGTGGCACAGCTGGACAGTCCCAGGGAGGGGGAAGCCAGAGGGGCCCCTGGGAAGCTGGACCAGGCCCTGGCAGCAGGACTGGCCCCCAGCACTCACGGGGCATAGCAGTTGTCCTGGGCCACAGTGATGCCATTGTAGGGCAGCAGCCAGGCCACCTCGGTGCTCAGGAAGCGCTTGATGCTGTTGATGGGCTCGTAGAGCCGCCGCAGGTCCCAGAACTTGATCTTGCGATCGCTGCCCACCGTGACCAGGAAGTTGCTGAGCAGCAGGAGAAAGGCAGCACTGAGAGCCCAGCACAGAGCCGTGCCCTGGCCCACCACAGGGCCCAGGTGGCCCCAGTCTTGCAGTGACCCAGCTGCCCTCAGCCTGGAAAGCCCAGCCCAACCTCCCTGGTGCTGCAGAGGGCCAAGTGCCATTGGCACCATGGCCTCGCAACCCCTTCTTAACAAAAGGAGGAAGTTCCTCTCCTGGCAGCATCTGTGGCTGCTCCTGCCCTCACCTGTCAGCTTTGCACCACTCAATGCTCCGGACTGCCTGGTCATGGGCCAGAAAGCACTGGAAAGGGTAGAGCTTGAGGGAGGCGTCAGGCTGGTGCACGCACTGCAGCAGGGATTTGGTGAGCAGGTTCCACACTGCCACGGTGCCTGTGGAAAGACTTGTGTCCATCAGGCACTGCCAATGGCACAGGTGCTTCAGCCGGGGATCAGCAGCAGCACAGGCAGGGCCATGGGAACATGGTGGCCAGGCTGGAGCAGGGGCTTCAAGCAGACAGCATGGTGGCAGGTCCTGGCAGCATAACACAGAGCTGTGGATGACTGCAAGCCTAGCAGAAAATTCCATCCAGACAAGCTCAACAGATGTGGATAAACACAGAGCCACAGACACGGACAAACAGTGACCAGCCTGGAGGTATGTCAGAACAACAACAGCCAGCCCAGAGAAGCCTTCCCCTGACCCAGGGCTGGGCCAAGGTGCCAGCACCAGCTGAGACTGAGCAGTTGAGGCTCCAGTGTCTCTGCCAGGGTGAGGGCTGCTCCCTGAGTGCTGCCACAGGGCACAGAAAGAGACTCACCATCATAAAACCCTGCTGCCAGGTGATGGTGGGGCTTGGAAGGCATCCAGGAGAGACTGAAGCACTGTCCACACTCGGATCCATTACCTGCCTGGATGGAGCCCACCTGAAGTGTGGCGATGCACTGCACCTGGGGGCCAAGGGAGAGCCCTGGGTCACAGCTCTGCACCAGTGCCATCCATGCCCCAAGAGCAGGATGCCTGGGGTGGGAGCACGACACTGCTCTGCCCCTCCAACACTCTGCAGGTGCCTGGGCTCCCCAGGCTCTGCCACCTGCACTGCTGGGGGCTCGCGGGGTGCCAGCCCTGACAGGGATCACCACGGCAGGGAACACTGACCTTGCAGATAAGGTGCTTGTGGAGGGACCCATCTAGAAGAGAGCAGAAGGGGGTCAGGGCAGGCTTTGGCTGTCCTGCGAGCTCCCTGTCTGGAGCCTGGATTGCAGCTCCTCACGGCCCTGGCCAGGGCTCCCAGTCCCTGTCCTGCCATTCCCCTGGAGCAGTGTCCCCAGCACAGCAGGAGCTGAAGCACAGGGAGGAGCAAACTGGTGGCAGCAGGACCCCCAGGAGCCAGGCCTGCCTGTGTGCTGGAGAGAGCAGCCCCTGAAACATGCCACAGGCAGAGATGATGGGCTCCTGCCCCACCATGGCCGGCACCAAAGCTGAGGTGATACGGTGGCACTCAGGGACCACACCTGACTCTGACCACTCCAGGGAGGCAGAGCAGCTGTGCAGAATATCTGCTCCACGGCTGACAGGACTGGAGCAGCCAGGCAGCACTCCTGGGGAGGGCAGGCTGCAGAGACCCCACACCAAACAGCTCAGGGCAGGATACCCACAGGACCACCACGCACCAGCTCTGTCTACCAGAGAATCTGCCCCCCGAACAAGAGTGCTGTGGGGACCTGTCCCACATCCATCAGGTCTGGGGTCCCTGACCCCCAGTGTGGGGCTGTCCTCCAGCACAGTGAGCACCAGACAGGCACGTCACAGCCTGGAGCCTGGCAGCCGTGGGGGCAGCCATGGAGGAGCTGTGCATCTTCCTTGGCACAGCAGTGGCAGCCAGGATGCAGTACGGAGACCAGCCCCAGCTCTGCCAGGCAGAACAGAGGACTGCGGGTCCCCAGTGCCCCAGGCTGTGCCAGCACAGCCCCCCCAGTCTGGGACCCCGAAAGCCTGTCAGCACAGCCTGGCAGTGATGCTGTGGCTGGATGGCAGCGCTGCAGCCCAGCCCTGAGGCACGAGCACCGTGCGTGCAGCCGCACCAATGATGAGCTCCAGGCTCCGGCAGCGGCTGGGGGGGCTCGTCCCACGTGCCGGGGGGGCTGCGGCAGCGCAGGCACAGCCAGCACGGGGGGGCACAGGGAGCCTTTCCCCGCCGCCCGCGGGGGAGTGCTGCCTGCCGGCCACGGCTGAGCGCCCACCGCCAGCACGCGCCGGCCATCAATCCCGCCGGCTCGGCACACTCA